GTATCTTATTGCTACACAACCGAGTATTATTACCGCAGTTACGACATATAAAAGAAAGAGTTCGTAAAATGACATTGCTCAAATTTACCGCTTCTCATATGATAAGGAAAGTGGTTTAGTATCCCAATATTAAATGTGAATGTTTATTGTGTGTGACGAACTTTTCTTGTTCCATGCTTGACTTTTCAATGTAGACTACCAACAATGGTCCAAGTCCTCAGGGTCGTTAAAGTTTTTGCGGCTGATGGTACGTTGTAGCCGTATCATGGACCATGACCCATTTCTCGCACTGCCTGAGGTGACACCCCGTTTCAATACGCGGCCGACATAAACTCACTTTTATGCATTGCTGTAAAAATAAAAGTTCCATCGTACCCTCACGCGTACCTGCAGGAGCTTTATTATTTTTTATGTGTCACAAGTGGGAATGGCCGTTTTAATTCATACTGTGATATGTGCCTTTATTGCCTTTATGGGACATCATGCCTTTTGCCAAATTCATTTTATTTTCAATTTTTTATGTTAACATGTTAAGTACAATCTGAACTGTTACAAAGCTTTTGAAATTTTACACAGGCCACCTGAAGGTTCAGAGTATTCTTATTCATATTTAAGATTGTACGCTTTTAAAGCCTACCTAAGTACAGCGAAGCCTACATTTTAAGGGTAAAAACAAATAAAGAATACACAAAAGCTCTCCCGCATCATTTTCTGTTTCGCGATCCAGAAATAGAGGTACCTCATACTTATGGCCGTATTATGTTTCCATTAGAGCTTGTTGACTTAACCCTCGAAAAAGAACAGTGACTGCGGTTTTTCTGCGTCTCACCGAAGTGGTCGGGCACGTATTGAGGTTTTACGATGCAAAGGCACGCGGCGTTTCACTGATTTATTTTCATTATCGTGTTCAGCTGTGCCGGAGGAGATATTTTTCACTGAGCCAGATTGGGTAGGGAACCGTGACTAAAATTAATAAAGTGATGTCGTCACCGACAGTTGTGACCGTTTTGGAACAAAATTTCGTATTCATCGTTACCAAATCCAGCTGCCGAAAGTTTTATTTTCTCTCTATCCTCGGTGCCAAGGGAATTCGGCAACGGACAGCTGATGCAAAACCCGGTTGGCTCTGCAGAGATATCTCATTGTATGACAGCAACTGCGAACTGATGACCTACTGACCCAATTCTGGACTGCAGCAGTCAACGATCTGTGTACCTTACTATTTGTTTCGAGTTCTGGCAGTGATTCCCACCAAACATATACATATTCATGCTGTTCAGCAATTCTTGAGGCAATTTTCCCTGTTTTAGTAGGAAGTCAATTTTAATTGGCAGTATAAAATATATATTGTGTGTTTATTTCTCTTTTGTTACTGTATGAATTAACATGTGCTTATTTTTGAGTCAGGAAAAAATCATTAAATGAATTCTCTCGTCTTGGGTGAATCAAGAGGAAGTGTCAGACTTTTACTGACTAAAACCCACTCTGTTCCTAATCCTGCTTCGAGACGGAGCCTCGGTAATTTGCTAAGTCGACCACAGCCCCTTTTATTAATGAAACATTATTAGGTAACGCAGAAAAATCTACCTGGACAACTAAGGTAGATTTTTCAACTATTAACTGCATACCCGATTATCACAATTAGTTAAATAGGATTGAGCATAAAATTAATTTAAATTGATGAATATTTAATAATAATTATGATGCATATTATATTCATACAATAGACGTTACAGATAATAAGTACACAGTTATTCATGGAATTAGAATAATTGACATTAAACAGAATCTAGGACATTGGTTGATTGATGAATAACAAATTCATAATAAATTTATAATTAGTTGATGAATTTTAAATAACCTGTTCTCTAATAAACATTGAGTCTATCCATATGAAGTATTCGATCCGCTAACCATTACACCTTTATCAGTAAGTATTTGTGTTTGAGGACCTAATAAAATGAATATGAGGATAATAAAAAAATACTGTTTCCATTCTGCCATTACTTTCAAGGTTCTCTTTAATTGTCATTCAGCAATTGGCATAAGCGAGGCAGTGAAATTTAATGAACCACATTCAGGTCAAGGCTGTCTGCTACAGAGGAACAGGCGACACTTTAGAGTTTGAATTTTACATCAAGAATTCTGAAATATGGATAATTGCTTTCATTGGATAGTCTGTTGTTTAAACATTCATGAGTAGTCAAAATAAATCAATTGCAATACAATTGGGATAATGGTCAGTAATGTACTGCATGTATTTGGTACATGTGCGGTTCGAGTTTTGTGTACCTTTTCGTTTCGCAATACGCAGTTTGAGTAATCCGTACAAATCATTCCACCGATTGGTAAGTCGGCCTATACTCGCATGGACTGTTGTTTTAATTTTTTTCTTTTTTTCCAATTAAAAACGTGCACCGCCAGCGAATTCTTTCGCCTGTGCACGACTTGAATATTTTATGCTTGCAGTCTCGCGGGAAATTAATGCTGGGTGCACTAAACCATTGTGCTTAAAATTTTTCTTTGGTGCACGGTTCGTTAGTTTTGAAGACATGATTTTTAAAAACCGTGTCAGATTAATTGACCCATTTTTCTAGTTTCTATTGTGGTAGTAAGCTCTCATATCTGCACGTCCGAATACCCTATAACAAAAGAAGATTCCAATTAAACCTCGTTGACTTGACTTACTTATTGATGATGTGAGAATAAGAAATCAATGCCTCTATAAATCTTCGTTCATCATATCTTCACGCACTAGTAAATCATATTTCAGCTCAAAGCTCTCTTGATACCAACCAAAAAATGGACTACTTTTATTGTATTGGCTGACGTCGACACGATCTGTAATATTAGTGGTGTAATAACACGTGTATAGGAAAATAAACGAATTCAATAATTCACTATACAAACAAGATCCCAATCTATTTGTAAAGGTTACATGCCCTCGGGAGTCATATCAAATAGGGAATTGGATTCGTCAGGTACGCCCAGCCGCTAAGACCTAAACTGCGGCTTACCGCACGCAAGTCGAGCGCCTCAGGGACTGTCGTAACTCCGTACCCTATTATTCCACTATCTCACTTTCAGCGTACGTGAGGCCCTTATTTATTGACCGAACCTGATGTAACAGCGATTTGGTGCGTAAACTACGTGTTGCGCAATCTACTCTTTGCTTCGATACATATTTAAGGGTGACACGACTTTATTGCATCTCAGTCCTCAGACAGTATTCTTTCGTTCGTTTTTTCTGTGAAATCCAACGTTTCGTATTTAAAATTGAAGTATGTACATATTCGATATCAAATCAGATTTCGATGACAAAATTATTTTATGCTGTATTTTTAATCACATTGCTCGTATCTGTATTAACAAAACCTTCCCAAAAATAATTCAATTCAATCGAAAGAGTATTTCATTACACCTGATCCGTGGAAATTAACTGAGTGATATGGTTAACAAACTGCCATTTCGTATCATTTCAACCGACGTTTTTATTTTCCACTCAAGTTAACCGTGATCGCTTGTAACTGATATTTCTTTATTCAATCTTGTGATTTGATAGCTTCGATTATTTTCTCAGAGCAATAATTCCGTCAAGTTTATGATAAATCGATCTTTATTGTCTTCCTTTAAAGAACTTTCTTTGTTTGAACGGTTATTTAAGTGAAACCTTCGGTGCAAAACGGAACTGAAATCTGAAACTATTAAGCTCCGAGAGTTTGCGGCAGGCCTGGGCCAAGTCTCTGCCTAAATTCTCATTTGTTCAGCTCTAGCTACGGAATAAATGCTTAATATTCCGCACACCTGTATGCTCCACATAAATAATTGCGGATTGCCACAACGCCTAGTACTTGTGGAATATTTCTTCTTTATTTAATTTTCTTTCTTATTGCCAAGTAAAGTTTCTGTATTCTGACTCACTTTTTGAATTGTTTCTTTTAATATTATAAAGCAATTTATATTTTTGATATGCTATTCACTACCTATTGAATTGGTGCAATTTGTAAGTTTCTTGGCGAACTGGCTGTATTTAGACGTTTTGGTATCGAACCTGAATGCGGTTGGGGGCATTCTATTGAATAGAAACTTAGGAACCGTGCAGTCGAATATTATTTGCCTTGAAAGTGGAACAGGGTGCTTACTCTTGAAACCAATCTCAATGTCAATGCAATTTCAATCCAACAAAATCTCAATAATTATTCAATGTCAACACTATACAACCACAATCGTAGGTGTTACAATAGCATTCAGAGTACGGAATATAAAGCCAAACTCAATACCATTTAGTTCATTCAATATCCACGCAATACGGATGCAATGGGCGCTAGTGTTGCAACTCGAGAGTACGAAATTTCACAATACCAATGTCGATCGATCGGAATTGGTTTCAGGAGTAAGCCCCCAGATCTCCGTGGTCAGGTACTTCCCATAGTGGAAAGACAAACTTAAGCCATTGTGAACTTTACATGGAATGCAGTTATTACGATCTCGCAGCAATTCGCAACTACCTGAAACGCTATCGTGTCGCTTAAGAATAATGTTAAATTTTGCATAGTTACTTGTTACTAACTGAAATTATTTAATCATAACAAATCCAGTCATTGTTTTTGAAAAGGTCGAGGAAATTTGTTATTAAAATTAAGTGATGGAGTCTAGTGAATGGTATTGCGAGAAGTGTGCTGCATTAGTATGCAGAGCTGGTGAAAGGACTACTCGCAATTGAATTAGTAAGTGAAGTGATCTAGACTAAAGAGTGGTAACTATTACGTATATTGGTGAAGAAGCTGGAAGCGTTCTGGCATTTTTGTGCGGATGAGAGGATGCGCGGCTGGCGGTTGTCCGCTCAGCGGAGACGCTAGCGGAAGAGGTAACGTCGATCGGAAAGGGTGTCGGGCCGCGAGCGCGACGACTGGTGCCCGCATGAGGCGCGCCGGCATGCGCTGACGTGTGCACGGCGCTGCGCGTGCTGCGGCGCGGCGCGATGCCCCCCTGGGCCTGACATGGAGGAGGGTGGCTATTGGCGGCCATCTTGCTCGACGCTGTCGCTCGCTGAGCACCATGGCAGCGCAACGCACCTGTGCGCGAGGCACGCGCCGCAGCCGGCGCGACTCGCGCACCGTCATCCCCCCCATGCGCACCATTCGCACGCGCACCAGCACGCGCACGCCCACCACCTGCAGCACGCGCAACACACCTCATGCCCCGTACACAGCCCGTACAGACAACCGACGCCGGAGTATTGTGCCGCACATTCACAGGTATCTGACATTACATTGTTTGTCGTTGTCCAAATAACGTACCCTACGTCCATGTTTAAAGAAATCGTTCATGAATGATTCACAAACTGTATATAGACATGATGTACACAAAGCACCGCTAATTAGTTGCAGCGCTACACATCGACACAACTGTCATTTACACAGTGTACATGTGTGCGTAATTTCATATAACTGTATATAAAAATATTCGTCCACCACGTTCACATTGGTATTTTCATTCTTGTGTCGGTATACGTATTTTTATAATTTAATGCATAGGTAAGGTTAAAACTATTTACAATCATTGATATGACCCGACATTTTCACTGTCATTATCGTAGTGCTCGTGGTCGATTGGTTAATGAGCACGCTTTTATCGTCTTTCAAGGATCAATGATGCGGGTTCTATTCCAGCTAAAAGTTAATTTTATTTTACCTTGTTATTTTTCTTATTTTTTTTTTGTTTTTTGTCATAAAATATAAATATCAGGCTATAAAAGAAGCAAATGAGTTGGTAAATAAAACAATACTATTTTTTATTACAATTAATTTATTTATTATACAAATATGTTGTTTTATATTCAATATTTATATCTAATAATTATTATATACCACATGTTAAGTTTAAAGTTCTTTAAATCATAATTAATAGATATGACAATAAACCTCATAGTCGAATCGGGAAATATCATGCGGTACAGCGGTAATACGATGGCAGCAACATTTTTTATTAAGTAGGTAATAAACAAATATACAACATTCTTGTTTTGTAATTTAATAATATAATGTATTATTAAATTACAGTTTTACAGTAATAAACAAGTAAAACATGTAAAAAATTACACTGTCAACATAATATTTCTTGAAATGGGCGACTTTTTGTCGTTTGAACTTCCATTAATTATCTATTTTACGACGGTTGTTATAAGGTTCAATATTCAGTGGGCTGTATGATAGTAAAAAGAATGTGACGAATGCTATGGAACGATTTTAACTTTCATGACCTTTAGAATCAGGGAAACTTTAAATTAATTGAAGATGGGCGTAAATATAATATGTCAATCAAGTTCGAAAGCAGTTAAATAAATTTGTTAATGAAAAATTAAAGTGAAGTGAATAAACATGTTGAATAGAAAGAAATTATGACAATTTCTAACCACAAAACAATAACATCACTTCACCGTATGTTCTAGACAGCATTTTAATATTCTTAAAAAAATTAAACATTATTTTATGTTAATTTTAATAAAGGCAGAGTTTGACAGGCTCAATAATTGATTCCGAAATCAATACAATCACTGATCCTACAAGGCAGAAGGTTGCAATTCGTATACCTTTCTCCATCTTTTCTTCACAATATTTTACGCCCATCCTTATCCGACTTGAAAGTCTTTTCGTCGCTCAATATGATTACACTGTTCGCCCAATCAAAATTAATAAAGTCCTTAGCAAATTCTTAGCGCTTTTGCTGTGAACCACAGATAACAATATTTTCTTCTCTGGCTTCCTGCACCTTAAACCAGAATGCAGGTGTCTCCGTACAGTTTGTATTAAAACATTCAGTGCTGTCGCTGTAGTGCGGGTTGGCAGGAACGGATCAGCCATGTGCCTGGCTACGATGTCGTAGTGCCGAGCCGATGAATTTGCCTTTGGTTTAGGCCCACGTCGACGATGTTTAACGTCACCGGTCTCCGCATATCTGTGCACCCATAACTGCATGGATCTCCTCTGTTGATACCAAACAAATAAGTATTTAAAATACCAGGAAATACTTTACAGGAATTAAAGTTACTTAAAAATAATAATAAATATAAGTAAACACAATGTTAGAATAATAATTTATAATTAAGTAGTGGCGTAAGGAATAAAAATCCCTAACCAGATATGTTTTAAAGAAACACTCCTAACAAAAACAAGTCAAGTTACAATACAATTAATAATAAATTATTAATATATCTTTATAATATTGAACTTCATAATAAGTTGCAATAATTATTTTATTCTAGTGCAAAAATTGATAGGTGTGTCGAGTTACAAAATGAAATAAATATTATTTAGAATATCAACGTAGTATCTTATTTACTCACCGATATCATTAAACGCCTTGCTATTTCAGTTATTGTTAGTTATGTTTTGCTCATGCAAAACAATGGTTTCAGCCTTTTTAAATGTTGATAGGTGTTGGAACATCTTGTAAAAATAAAAATAACTTTGCACACGAATATAAGTAGTGTAGCAATAAACTATGAAATCCTCATAAATTGACAACTAAGAACGCAATTATTTTGTAAGTCGGGTGATTTGAAAAACATGTTTTAAATAGTCGGTAGTTACTTCATAAGCGTGTAAAATAAAATGACTCGAGATTTCTATGGTCGCCACAAACATTGCAAATATACTCAGGTATCGAACCATTAAGAAATCACAGTTAATTACTTTTTTACTGTTTTTATCTTATTTAAGTTGGTTGAAATGCATGAAGCAAATGAGATTATTCTAAATAATAAATAACTAGAACTAAAATATAAATAAAAGATATTATAGGTATAAATAAATCTAAAGTATTTACTATTAAAATTAACATAAGATTTAGAACAATAGGAAAGGAAAAAAAAGAAAAGATTTAATTGTTTCTAATTTCAAATTTCAAATATTTGATAAATTAATTCTAAAACAACATGTGAATGTTGGGATCGATCCGGCGGCACTTTACTTGACAATTGGAGGCGATAACCATTGCGCCAAGCGCGCTGTAGATGAGATCATCGAAATATTTTATATCATTCAGTAACATAAAATTACAATGAGAAAGCACTATATTTATATGGGTATTGTATAGCTCGATCGTTCATTATTTTTGATTTCGATTTATTCAAAGTTTGTTATGAGTAATTTTATCTTTACCCTCGTTTTTATTTAAACTTATTTACTAAATTATTGCGTATACCGACACAAAAATGATTTTTAAATACCAAGATGTGTGTGATAGACGAATGTTTCTATACATATCTATTGATATGAAATTACCCACACATGTATATTGTGTAAATGATAGTTGTGTCGATGTGTAGCGCCGCTAACTAATTAGCGGTGCTTTGTGTACAAGTTTTATAAAGGAAGAAGTATTGACGAAGTAATCGATGCTATCATTCTTATAGGTCGTACGCGAGGACAATTTGTGAAATCGAGTCACGAGGTGATGGCATCTGCACATAATTTATTGCAAGTTGATGTCCTCAACGATGTAGAGCATACTTTCAATGACACAGATTTGCATCTAACGATTGCTCTTCGCGTGTTGGAAGGCATTGATAAAATATAGGAAAATTCTTGTTTGTTAACTCCAAAACGAATGATTTATGAAACGCTTGTTAATGGCAGCGATAAATATTTTGTTCATAACAAATACATTCGACATGTTTTGTAAGTATTTGCCACGTTCGGCCTTGAAACTGTATTTATTATTGGTGATCCTCCGGAAACGTGAGGGGAATGTTTTACTAGGTAACGGAAATAGAGCGAGAAAAATAACGAAATAAAAGGAAGGCAACCATGTGTCTGCGTCGACTAATGCAGTAATTACATTTGAACACACAAGTAAACCCGGGCTTGTTAGTGGATAATTGTATACTTATTTTGGAGATACGTGTGTAATAACTGTCTTGAGGAAACACAATAGGCATACACTTTCTTTTTTTTTTTTGTTACACTTACTAACAAATCATAGACGTCCAATTTATTTCAATGGTAAACCAATATCAGATTTTCAGACAAGCGGACTATTAAGTTTGGCTCTAAACTTTGAAGTTTATCGAATTATATCATTCTAATATAATACCAGAATTGAATAGCAGCTGGTCTTGATTGATGGGGACTTAGTACATAATATGGCGTAATGTGAAGAGATTGATGTATTTAGGGAGCCACTCTGACCGTATGAGGATGGATGGCGATAAGATGGACTGGCTAGTGTAGCGGTAAATGTATACATAGGTTAGTTTTTCTATCATTTTCCTGCTACTATATTTAAGGGACCGAGTTATTAAAAAAACCTTATCCAGGTACTTATTTTCTCAGTTACAGGTTTTCGAGTTTAAATCCAATAAAAATTCCGTCACCGGTGACTTAAATGGAATTGAGTGAGGCTTTCATTGAAATCAAATGCGTATAAAAGGGCGTCAAGATAAAATAATCCTTTTGAACGTTTTCATGTGACAGTGGCAAGGCAATTGTGACATCCAAATTGGTTTTTGGGAAGGTACGAACGGTGTTCTCGAATTTTCGATGAAGACGTGTCTGGTTATATACTGACTCTGCTCTGCGGTTTTACTAGAGATTTCTCTTCTTTTTGCATCTCTTTATTACTCTAAATTTTTTATCTAAGTATTCTAGAATAGGGATGATGACAGGTATGAAAATTAAACATCTAATTAGTCCGCCTGTTAGGTAATGAAGAAATATTAGACACGTATTTTTTTATTTTGATGTATAACAAAATGATACTTAAGGTGGGGTCCCACGGCCTGCTTTCTCACAGGCCAGACCACGCCAGGCCAGATCGACAGGCCGTGGAAACAGTCGCATCCGATGAAGTTTGTGATGGCCTGTCCTCGCCCGTCTGATCCATCGGGAGTCGGTAACTTCAAAGGCGCGACAAAAGCGGCTGCACACGCAGCCATGCGCTCTGTATCACTTAACATGTTGGAATAACGAAAAATAGGCCGCACCAGACTACGGGCCGCGGCAGGCCTCCACAGGCTGGGCAACGCCTGTCGCGGCCTGTGGCCTGGCAGGCCGTGGGACCCCACCTTTAGATGTAACGAATCAAAGTTTAGAAGTTAAGGCTAAACGTCATTTCTACGTATAAAATGTACATAAAGGTGACGTCACGCGACATTTCAAGTCAATATAATCTTCGAACGTATTCGTTTCTGTAAAAAAAACGAAATTGTCATCAACCCTATTCTGATTTGTTACAATACTTACCCAGCAGATAAGCC